GGGGGTGGGGGTGAGAGAAAAGACAGAGATCACAAAAAAGAATAAACCAGAGGCATTGATACGTCCTCAAACATGCAGCTGGCGACATCTGGTAAGAGGATGGAAGGGACCGTGAAGGTACCATAAATATCAAAGCATAGCAAGAAGAATGCCCAAAGTCCCCCCCCCTCCCCCCACCATTTCCGTAATCAAACAACCCTATCTGTCCCCGTCGATTTACGCAAGAAAAATTCTGAAATTATGCAAACTGATCCCAAAAATGTGAAATTATGCGATTCTGTGAATTTTACCAAAGAATGACAAAGGAAAATAATCAGAAATTATGCCAAAAATGATCAAATTTAGCTAAATTATAGACAGCCCTATATCTGCTGCAATTTAAGAGTGATACGAACATTTTAATGTAGCTGTATGCTCCCATCCACACAATTTAGATCTTTTAGGAGGCTGGCCACTTCGACGCTGCCTATCAGGGTCAACCCAGGTTGAAAGGGTTACAACATCCCAGCATAATGACCGAGAACTCGATGAAATTCTCTTCCACACGGGAACTGAGCTCAGGTCTATTGCTTTCGACAGCGAAGCGCCTAACTGCTACATCACAAAAACTAGCCCCAGCACAATGTTACTCGAGCCAGTCTTGGATCAAATGGTAACTGAAAACGACACAAATCATGTTTTTACAATTCCCAGTTATTTGTATCCAGAGGATCAAAAATGTTCAAAATTCAAAACTCAAATTTGAACCGAAACATAAACTCAAACCTCAAACCTCAAGCCACAACCCCCCAAGCCCAAAGCTCAAGGCACAAATCCCAAACGTCTAACCCCAAACCTCAAACCTCAAACCTCCGAACTCAAAATTGAAAAATTGAAACTCAAAACTCAACTCCAAAAACTATAACCCCAACTCGAAACTTCTACAACTACAACCATTGGACTCGATACCTGTAATGTAATAAAAATCGCCCGTTAGTTTTGTAGTCGAGTCTGTGATCCCTCTCGTCCGCGCCCGTCGTTTTGTCTCGGGGGATTAGAGAATTAAGATGGCGGCCAAATAATGACTGGAGACACAGACGGCGCATAACTTTGTTTGTCAGAATGACGAGCTACAGCAGAAATCACTTAACGAACACGAGTTTATCAATTCTTCTGTGGCCTTACGTCTGTTCTGTCTGTTTGGCTGTGTGTGGGCTTTGTACTCTGCCCCCATCCCCCAAATCCCCTCCTTTCTTCCTCCCTTTATTCTCCTTTTATTTTCTCTCATTCACTCTTCCCCCTCCCCCCCCCCCCCCCCTTTTACTCCACCCCTCTTTCTATATATACACAACATTTTTTTACCATGTTCTCCAACTGTTCTTATTCTTTGTTTTCCTCTTTTTGTCTTCTTGCCTTCCTTTCCTCTCTACCCTCCCCCCCACCCCTTCCCCCAATTCTTTCAAGCTCTACTCCCTTTCTCCGTCTCCCTCTGTCTCCCCGGCCACCTCTGTCTGTCTGTCTGTCTGTATGTCTGCCTGTCTGTCTGTCTGTCTGTCTGTCTGTATGTCTGTCGGTCTGTCTGTCTGTCTGTCTTTTCTGTCTGTCTGTTTGACTGTCTGCCTGTCTGTTTGTATGTCTGTCTGTCTTGCATCGTTTTATTATTTTTTTTTTTAGCTCTGCACACTTTTTCTATACTCTTGTTTCTCTCTATTTTTTCTTCCCTCATCCCCCACTCCCCTGAATTGTATCTCTATTCTTTTTTCGTTTATTAAGTTTCCTAGTCCTTTCCCTTCCCTCTTTAAATTCATAAAGACATTAATTATTTTTTACACCCTCATCAACACAATTTAGATTTTTTAGAACTCTGTCTAAATCCGGCCAGTCCGGACTAAGAGACATACATGTCCCAGCAGAAAGACCCAGACGCTGTCTTGTAAAGAAAATGTTCCCCACTCGAAAATCGAACTCAGATCTCCTGCACACGACAGCGAATGAGCATGTGAGCGCTACACCAAAGCTGATAGTGTCCTTTGCTCCTTTCTCTTTCAGACTGCCTCCGTCCCCGTCCCCCCTCTACACACACA